GTAAAACCAAGGCATAATGCGAAATCCTTGTGATTAGATCCTCATCCACTCATCCATGGCATCCAAAACCCTTAGTTTCTATTCAGAGTAAAACCAGACATATCGTAAAGTCCTTATGACTCGGTCTTCACAGACTTGTTCAAGGCACTCTAAAGACCTTGGTATCAATTTTCATAGAAAAACACGTGGTATGATGAAAACCCATATGACTCAGCACTCATAGACTCTCGTTCAAAATGCCTAAAGATAGTTCAAAATGCTAATGCATCACTCGGTCCCTACCGATTCATTCAAAACATAAATACTTACAATATTTCAGAATAAAAGCACACAGTGAGAGACAACTCAGAACTAAGTGTACAAGATTTGAGTCAAAGCAAAATTCTTTCATTCATTTACAAAAATCTTACAGGACTTTTTACATGACTCGACACAAAAAAATAAAAAAAATAAAAGTATATAAGTTTATATAGCTAGAGAAAAACCCAGAGTAGGAGTCAAAGCAAGACCCTAGGCGGGAGTCGAAGCAGAGCCTAAGTAGGGGATAGAGTGTCAGCTGGACATAAATTGGGAGCATTAGTGGGAGAAGTTCCTGATTGGATAGATGATGAGGGTGAGCTAGCGGGAGTCGAAGCAGAGCCTGAGTAGGGGATAGAGTGTCAGCTGGACATGAATCAGGAGCATCAGTGGGAGAAGTTCCTGGTTGGATAGATGATGAGGATAAGCTAGCTTCATTGCCAAACCTTTTAGCCACATCGTCTTCTGACCCATCAACCACCTCCTTGTCCTCCTCCACCAGTCTTATTCCTCCTGCCATCTAGAATCCCTTGAGGAGATGGAGATCGCGCTCACCTGAGAGGGATAATTGAACCAGGCAGCATTAGTCTTGAGCTTATGGGGAATTTGTTGCATCAGGAAGTCAGATCCCGCCTTACAAGCAAGAGCGACCTCCACCTTCCCAAGAGTATCCTTTCGACTCCAAGAAGGCCACTTGGACCTGTAGTGTCTCGACTTGATTGATAAGGGAACCGTACTGCTTGTCGACCTCTTGAACAACTCGGACAACCTCTTATCAAAGAGCCTCCTGATGAGTCGCCTCTTCCTTCAATCTCGCCCTCAGCTCCTCTGGCTCGAGATGAGCCTCCAAGCCTGCTTGAAAGCATAATCCCTCTCCCTCTTCTTGGCCTTGACTTTCGATTTGAGTTATTTAATCCTCTCCTCGACAAGGCCCAAGCTCTAATGAGAGTGATCAAGGTCCTCTTGGAGACCCTTAATTTCCTCCCAGACTTCAGCAAGGTAAGCCACTCATTGCCGAGAATCTTTGGTAATAGCCTTAAGGCTCTCATCCTTGTAGATTAGCTCATGCTCCATCCCCACCCTGCTCTTGTTGAGCTCATCGAGCTCACTCCCCTTAGTGGCAGCTAGCAGCTCGGCCACCTCCAGAGCCTCCATGTAAGCCGTCACCTCCTTCCGAAGCTTATAAAAGAGGATCCAGGATTGCTCATATCAACAATGTAGTTCTATTTCTACAAGTGCTTCCTTGATGAGATAGCTCCAGAGAGCTTAATGAAGGTCGGCATCAAGTACCCCACTCTGCAACTCATGATCATCAGGAGGGATAAAATGCTCAAGTGCCTTGGCTTGGTTCACCTTAAACTCTAGGACTGACCCCCTTAAGTCTAGCCGATGACCCAAGATAAAAACATGCTCATCCGACGACTTCTTCTCATGATGGGGATGCAGCTTTATCACGTCTATTAAAATTGCCCTCATCTTGTCCCACTTATGAGGGGCAATCTTGCTAATATGATGAGGGAAGGGTTATTCACACCGACAATCTTAGGCACCCTCGAAAGCTTACCCTTTCACTGTGGCTGATTCTGCCCCTACAACCGGTTCCTCCTCCACGGTAACTGAATCTTCTCTAACAGCTGGTTCCTCCACAATCGACTCTTTCTTGGGTCTCCTAAAAGGCCCTAGGACCTTTTCTTGGCTTAGCTTATGCGCTAGCACCAACCTCTTCCTTAGTCGCGGCCTCAACTCCTGTCGGCTCTGAGACTTAGAGGTCTCAACCAACTGCTCCCCACTTGGCAACTAACCATGGGGACTTGTGACCAACATTAATAACTTCAGGCAGAGGAGCTTTGTAGTCCTATGGAACCAGAGCCTCACTGGTTTGCCTAGGTATGGCTTTAATTTGCCCAGGCTCGGCCTCAATCGCCTCATCCAAAGCAAGAAGTCTTTGCGTGCTGCCTTCGGTCGGGTGACGATCCTTTGAGAACATCTTCTTTCTCTTAGACCTCTCAACCTAAGCAGTGGTCAAAGCTGAGCCCATAGCCAATCAGGCCAAAATTTAAACCCAGTTCTGGCATATAGCCTGAACCTCCTCCGCCACTAGCTCGAAACAAATGTGCTTCCAAGGTAGCAAGGCCAGCTTGAGGAGCCTCTGTAGACATTTCTTAATGGACAATAAGGCCTCCCGAGCTAAGTCAGCCTCTATAGCGGGAGTGAGAGAGATACCAACAGCATGGAGCACAACATTGTCAAAGATGTTCTTACAGCGATGAGACCCCTTACAAGCTCAAATCATCATCAGCCCATATCGCTCTATCTCCGAGAGCTTGGTTACTTTCAAGCCCTCTTTCTTCACCTCTGGCTATGAAGAATGGGCCAACATCAGGTTAGCATCAAAGATGTAGGAAAAATTCTCCTTTCACCCCTTGTTTGTGTTGGGGATGTTGGAGGCAAGCTGGAGGCCCCCAACCATCTACAAATAGAGTTGGCCTTTATTCTTACTGTCCTTGGTTCCCAACAAATGACCAAGAATGCCAATCATCAACTCGACATGCACCATATGGTAGATAAAAAGGAAGGCGATTGTGAGAGCGATTGAATTGGGCTTCAATTGGACCAACGAGATCCCCAAAGCCCTAAAAACATGTTGAAGGAACATGTAAAGTGGCGGGCAGAGGCAAAGTTAAGATGATGAAAATAAATGGGCGCCAAGTCAATGTTGTGATGGTAGATGACATGCTCCCTCGCCGGAATAGATAGAGTGAAGACACTGGGAATGTCAAATTGTTTCCCGTATTGTTCGAGACGATTCTAAATCATAGTTGACTTGTATTTTCAAATCAGAGCAATTCTAGCCTCGTTACCAGCAGAAGAAGACTTAGTGTTGGAAACCATTAGAGCGATTGAAGAAGATGATCAGAGAAGATGATAAAAAATATGATCAGAGAAGATGATAAAAAATAGCAGAAGCAGAAAAGATGGCCAAAGTTCTCGCTAACAGAACTTAAGAAAATTTTAGGGTTTGAAACGTGGAAGAAGATGTTGAAGGGGATGTGTGTATATACAAGATGGTAGACGACACATGGTGCAATCTAAACATCTGGCTTGGTTACCTATAAATCTGCTGATGGTTCTCAAAACCAAAGTGAGTTCTCGTCAATTGAGGCGTTCGCTCGATAATCGAAGCTCCATATCTTTAAAACTATTGCACATGATCTACGTTGATATTAGAGCGTCACATCATAACTATCTTTCAAAAAAGGAGGTTCAGATCCTCGAGGAGGTGAAAAGATAGACTAGTTCATTTTCTCTCGGACTCGACTTCTCGAGTCAGAGTCGAACTCTGCTTCACGAGTCCAAGTGAAAGTGGCTCCTGTTGTATCCTGAAAATTACTAAGCCTAATGAACTCTGGAGAGTCGGCCATGTGTCATAATTAACTAGTCAGGTCCTACTAATTCAAAAGCCGACCCAAGTGAGAGCACGACCGACCCTTCTGGCGGTCCAAGTCCTGGACGAAAGGCGTCTTTGAACCGGGGAATGCCAGAAGAAGCCGGGTCTGAGATGAAAGACATTTTCTACTCGGACTCTTGCTAAAGAATGTCTCAAATGAAGAGACAACCAATCAGCTTTAATAGTTGTACTTCGCCGCTCAATCACTATCGTATTTAATGTTGAGTCAGAGTCATTATGACTCTTCAGGCCGAAGTTATGACTCCTCAAACCACACTAGCACTTCAGCCGTTCCGTCACCGTCGCATTAAATGTGTAGGTGACTCATTCAACTGGCTGCTGACACGTGTAAAGTGCGGTCTAATCAGCCGACTCCACGACCTGATCAAAATTACCGATGTGCCCCTACACAACCTTCTATAAATAATGAGCAATCTTCACTATTAGAACGTACATAGAAAACTACTAAATTACTCCCTAAAACTAGATTCTGCAAATTTGTTTAATTTATCACTGATTTAATCGTCAGAGGGCGCATCGAAGCAACAAATTCGGGCCCTCTAACGTGTGTTTTTTATGCAGGTATCTACTTCCTCGTGACTGATCAACTATCAAGAAAGATCAAGGGACCTTGAACTCCTCTAAATATCTACTGACCCATACAATCAACTTTCTGACATAAACACGTAGATTTGATACTTTCTCATAAAATACAACCTACCCAATGAGTAAGATATATTTCATGACACTTAGGGGCTGTTTGGTTCCGGTTTTTGGAAGGGGAAAGGAGAGGGAAAGCTGCCAAAAAGCTGATATTTTTGGCAGCTTTCTTCTTTTTTACCGATCCAAAAAACCGATCCAAACAGTCCCTTAAAAAGGTTGAATTTCATACCTTTCTTTCTTAATAGTTTAAAAAAAAATTTGGAATTGAATAGCGTATCAGTTATCACTAGTAGATCTACCCAAAAATTAACGCACTTCACACAAAACACCCCATTTCCTTCCAAACTTAGGCAGCCCATGAGGCAAACTGTAATTACCTAAAATCCACAGATCATAAATGCTACTAGATTCTTATCCTCACGTAACGTCCACGCTCACCCACACGCGCACCCTCACCTCCACGTGTCACACCCGTGGGCTCCACGTGTGAATGCCTCGGCGAAAAAACCCACACCCTCAAAATCCAAAAAAATAAATAATAAATAAATAATAGTAAGAGTCAATATTAAAAACCCGGAATTTTCTCTTGTCCACTGACCTCACTGTCACCTTCTCCTTTATAAATTTCTAGGGTTTCCTCTTTCCGAAAAACGCCGCTCCTTTTCTGTAGACGAGCTCACTAGAGACGAAAGAAGCAAAAAACCAGAACCCTAGAAATTGTGATCTCCGTAATTTCACAAGCTCAGCTGAGCTGGGAAGTCGTGGAACATGCACTGATTGATCAAGAATTTGGACCCAAATCACATTTTTGGACCCGATTTTGTTTCACAATGTTGAGATCTCTAGTTTACAAAGGGAACTCTTTCATCGGGGAGGCTGACGTCAGCCCTAGCAGCGATAAGACGGGGATCTGGACGCGAGAGATTCGGATCTCGCACCTCTCGCCGCCGAGCGATCGGTCGCCGCCCCTGGCGGTCCTGTGGACTATCGATTCGGATCTCGCACCTCTCGCCGCCGAGCGATCGGTCGCCGCCCCTGGCGGTCCTGTGGACTATCGCCGTCGATGGGTTCTGCTTCAAGATGGAAGCGCCGTCGCCGTCGCCGGAGGATCAGTTGACTTCGATCCATGATGCTTGCGTCAGAGAGAAGAAGGTATTGAAAAACCCTAGAAATGGAAACTGATGACGTCATCAGCTGGAACAGTTAAAACAGGAGAGAGAGAAAAAAAATATTAACTGATTTATTGTGGACTAGGGAACTTTAGTTAGACAGATGCCAGAATTTGGTATGGACCTTCTCTCTTTCTGGACGTTTAATTAAAATGAGTAATTTTACAGTTTATTGGACTTTTTCAAAAGTGCTTAATTTAATTTTGGAGTGAAAAGTTTAATTTCTGACGAGCATGCAGAATTTCAATATGTGTAGTTTAGATGGATATGAGATCACAATTCAATTTGGTGTTATGCTTGAGTTCATTTAATTTGATGGGTTAGTGTAATCTTTTAATGCGGTAGATATGCTTGAGTAAGTTCAAATTGAATATGAGATCACATTTGATTTGATGATTAATAATTCATGGAGGAGGAGTTTGAAATGGAGCAAGTTCAAATGGAATTAAAATGGGAAATTTAATTTTGTTGGGATTTAAAAAAAAAATCTTAATTTTATTATTGGATGCAGGATATTAATACAGTCAATTCAGATTTGGGACTGAGAGATTTTAACGGTCTACATATGCTTGAGTCATTGTGCAAATTTAATATGAGATCACAATTCAATTTGACGATCATTTACCTTGGTAATAGGAGGTGATCTCAATGATTAACAGAATCGTTCACAATGCGAAACTAAGATATTTGGGATTGTTAATATTTAGGCTCACAATCGAAGCTCTTTAGGTGGATTGTTGTGTTTGGTACTGTTATAATAAACAGTTTGAAATGTTGTTTGATTAACTTGTCTATGTAGAACCCATATTTCTGCAGAGAGGGAGCTTGCTAATGAAAAATACTAAAACTCAGCTTGTAATTTAACAAAGTATTTCCAAGTTTAACTAATAGATGCATGTGGTGCGGAGGGTTCAGTTTGCATTCTTCACCTGAAAGATCGCAATCTGATAGTGTGTATAGACTTTGAATTATAAGTGTAAGTGAATAATACATAAAGTTAACTGTTTGCTGGGAACAAGTCGAGATCATGCAGCTTATTTGGCGTCCGTTGTTATATTTATTCAGTTGCGTTATTGGTTCAGAAATAACATCGTATCTGACTAGTTAGTTTAAGCTAAAATGCTTATTTGTGTTTTCTGATTAATTCTTTTCTGTTCTTTTGTAATATATTAGTTAAATGCTTGAGTTTCATACTGGAATATTAGTTTTCAGTTGATATGTTTGGGAACAAATGAAACAAATAATATTATATAGGGCGATTTTATGATCACACATTCCAGTCAGGGCCATGACACAGTGAAAAAATGTGCATTTTATGATTTTGAAATTATATAGATTGGTATGATTTAATCGTTTAATGTTGGATCAATACCTTCTAATTAGTTCCAAAAGATTCAATGCTCATACCCTTCACATTGGATCATTTTGATGAATAATCACTGTATTATTATGAGACAAAAAATTATCCATAATGGCGATTGGAATTGTTGGGTGATATTTTGTTCATGCTATTGGTGTGTTTTAATTGTTGTTAGTTTAGCCTTTATATTCTTGATTATGCTAGTAAATTTGGTTTCAAATTTAGATCACAGTAGAACTTTTCAATTGATGAAAAATATTGATTGCAAATTGAAAGATAACTAGTGTTTTTGAAGTGTGTGCTCGTGGGTAGAAGTTCAGCTTTAATAGTTTTCCCTTCTCTTCTCCATCCACCTTGGTCATTGCTGGGAGCATAAGATTTACAATTAAAATTATGTGAAGACAGAGAATACATTGAATCAACCAAACACTGCCTGCAGATCCTAATTCATTGTATGTCTTTTAAAATATTTTTAAGATATGCTTGGGAACAAATGAAATAAATATGATCTAGGTTGCAATTCTTCTTATGTTTCTTATTGTGGCTTTTGATATCTTGCCTTAGAAAGCTAATATCTTCCCACCTCAGCGTCTAAGAAAGTTTTTGATTTCTTATTTGATTGAGTTGTTGTACATGCATATATATTCTCTTCGCCTTTTCTTCGGTTCTCTTGAAGTGATTGAGAAAATTGTGATTTTCAACTTTTGCTTTAGTAACTTCATAGTTTTTGTTGAAATAATTTATTTACGGGTTTGCTTACCATGTCTACTATGTTTATATGCATATATATTTTTAAATATGAAGCCTTTTAATTTAGAAATTACTAAAATGTATTCCTCGTATTAATGTCTTAAGACATTTTTCTGTGTTTATTTACATTATTATGTTTCTTATTGAATTCTGTGTTATTAATATGGTTGCAGACGGCAGTTGTTCCATTAGGAAATGAAGAGCTGCATTTAGTGGCCATGCCTTCCAAGAGAAACTCCATGCAGTATTCATGTTTTTGGGGATTCACCGTTGCTTCAGGATTGTACAACTCTTGTCTAGTGATGCTCAATCTAAGATGCCTTGGCATTGTGTTTGATCTTGATGAAACACTTGTGGTTGCAAATACTATGCGATCTTTTGAGGACCGAATCAATAATCTGCAGCAAAAGATGAGTAATGAGAATGATCAACAACGTTTGGCCTCTATGTTGGCTGAGATTAAACGATATCAAGATGACAGAACTATTTTGAAACAATTTATAGAGAATGATCAAGTTGTTGAAAACGGAAAGCTGTTCAAAGTCCAAGCTGAGATTGTTCGGCCTTTGTCTGAGAGTCATCAACAGATTAATCGACCAGTTATAAGATTGCAAGAGAAAAACATCATCCTGACTCGTGTCAATCCAGCTGTATGTACTTACATTTAAAACAGTTTATTAGATCATGGATTTTTCGGCTATATACCCCCAAATTGCCCATATTTATTAAAACTACCCCTCAAATCATGATATTTATTAAAATGCTCCCCAAATCTTCAACATCGAGCTAGTATGTCCCCAAGAGGAATATTCTCAGAATATTCCTTCTTTTTTTGTTAAGCATTATGGGGTATAGTAATTCAATGTTGACGATTTGGGGGCATTTTAATAAATAGGGGTATAGTAATTCAATGTTGACGATTTGGGGGCATTTTAATAAATATTAAGATTTGAGGGGCATTGTGATGAAGACCAAGATTTTGGGGGGTAATTTGATAAAAATATGGATGATTGGGGTGTATATAGCGAAAAAACCCGTAAATCATTGCATTAGAAAAAGGATAAAGGACATCAAATAGAATGGGACATAATAAAATTCAGCAATGTTTTGTTCTTCCCTACTGGCCTATACTACTAACAATGGCTAAACATAGAATAATTCATATCTTGTAGATACGTGATACTAGTGTTCTTGTACGGGTTAGACCGGCATGGGAGGAACTTCGAAGCTACTTAACTGCCAGAGGCCGCAAGCGTTTTGAGGTTTATGTTTGCACCATGGCTGAGAGAGATTATGCTCTTGAAATATGGCGGCTTCTTGATCCAGAATCAAACTTGATCAATTCTAATGAGATTCTAGATCGAATTGTGTGTGTTAAGTCTGGTAAGTCATAATCACATTTTTCTTTACTGCATGGTATTATTCTCATGGTGACATAATGTTTTTGTCAGTGCACTTGACCTTTCCTAGACTTGGTTATCCTTTTTCTTTATAAGTTGATGACTGACATTTTTTAATCGCAGCTTGATATTTTCGTAGTCTTATGCATAGTTTCCATTAGATATATCATATATAAACTTAAGATGTTTCTGGATGTCTTTATTCTTGCACTTGGCCTACTTTCGGCTCCATTATTTGATCTTATTAAGTTATGTAATGTGCTTAATTAAGATGTAAGTTCTCATATTTTACTAATTCTGGTGGTGTTATAGAATTGAAGAAGTCATTGCTAAGTGTCTTTCAAGATGGGAAGTGTCACCCAAGGATGTCTTTAGTGATTGATGATCGTTTGGCAGTGTGGGATTTTAAAGATAAGCCACGAGTTCATGTTGTTCCCGCTTTTGCCCCTTACCATGCTCCTCAAGCAGAGGTATAATGGATGCCTAAGTAATTGCCATTTGATCAAAATATTGATTTTAACTTGTTCTCTATTAAAGGTGGTTAGTTCCGTCTCTGTTTTATGTGTCGCAAGAAATGTTGCATGCAACGTTAGAGGCGGTTTTTTCAAGTAAGGAGCACAAGCTCTTCTCATCTTCCATCCATCTTTTGTTATTGTAGTGGAGATACTTTCCTCTTGATATGATTATCAATCGTTAAACATGACAACCATGGTATACAATGACAGAGAATATGATGACACTTTATTGCCACGCATCGCTGCTGCTTGCTATGAAGATGAAGTGAGAGATCTCCCATCTGCTCCAGATGTGAGCAATTATCTGATTTCCGAGGTAAACATTAATGTAGACTGTGAGTAATAATTTTGTGAGTAATACATTAACTGCTTTTTCCCTTGTTACCCAGGAAGAAACTTCTCTAGGAAATGGAAACAACGATCTTCTTTCTTTCGACGGAATGGCAGATGCTGAAGTTGAGAGGAGATTGAAGGTTATTTCTTATATTGCCAGCCTCAGTTACTTATGTTGATATTTGTGATCATGTGGAGTTAGAGAAGCACAGAACTGCGTTAACTGATGCACATTGCTTACTGGATAATAATATCTTGAAAAGACTTCATTTCATTGTCAGGAGGCAAATTGCAATAGCCAAGCTGCACCATTCATTGTCCAGGGGGCAAATTGCAACGGTCAAACTGTTCCACCCATGGTCAGCAACTTCAACCATATGCAAATGACTCCTGTTCATCATGTGATACCTTCATCCTTCGGTGCAAAGCCTTTGGCAGCTTCTCAAAGGATACTGCCATACTCTAATAATCCTTTTCCTCAGCCTACTGTATTGATGAACCCACCTGCTATTGAAGAGGGTGAAGTGAATGATTCAGAGTTAGATCCAGACACAAGGAGAAGGCTTCTCATATTGCAGCATGGGCAAGATGTAAGAGGACCTTCACCATTGGAATTGAGACCTCAACCTGAAGTTCCTGTCACTTCTATAAAATCTCCGGAAAGTTGGTTACCAAAAGAAGAAGAGATGAAACCGAGACAAAAGAGTAAAGCATCCAATGATTACCCATTGCAACCAGAAACTATCCATTTCAATAAGAGGCTGTCTGACGAGGATTCATATACTAACAGAATATATCACAGAAACAAAAGGCTTACCACAGAGGTATACAGTTAGACTTGCACGTGTATTTGTTTTTCTTTATCCAGATTGTTATCTTTCATATGTTTGTAGCACACCCTATTATGTAGGTGCGTAATGGAAGTGATGGCCTGCATAGAAACTATTCAAGATCAAATTCATTGACAGGTACGATTGGTTTACATTCTTCAAGTCCTTTCTCGGTACAACAGTAGCTTATTGACCAAGTATCATATTGCATTTTTCTGATCTTTAGCACGAGTCAAATCATTAAGGCCCTTGAATAGATTTGCACTTTTTGGCATATCACAATGTTTTGGCATTTGAGGTTTACTTCAGATTTCATCATGCCTGCTAATTTGCTGTCCATCCTGTCTGTTTTTATTTTTTGATGTTTTTGTGTGTACAATTAAACAGGAATGAAGGGGAAAAACTAACGTTTGTGCACAACAAAGTGATTTAACGGTGACTACCCAATTAAGGGATGCTGTCTTATTAACTTCAAAGTCTTAAATATTCTTCATTTTTTATTAGAAGGTGTTTTACCGAAATGCATATCTGAACAATAAAGAAGTATTTTGATGATGTTATTGAGATGATCAGTATTACCACTCTATAAGGCATGGGTTAATAGCTGCATCATGACATTAAGCATAAATTACCTTTCTCTTTAAAGGTTGTTTTTTTTTTTTTGCAAAAAATGGTAGGTCAATGGATTGTGTTTTATGCAGTTTACAACTGACAGATACTTTTTAAATCAAAAGCTTAAATGGCAATGACAATTTTCATGACTCCTCTCTTATAGTTTTGCGTCAATCGTGTCTAACATGTGATGTGATACATATACCTTTGAAGCTTCAACTTATTTGTCTGATGGAATTCCAGCTTATATAAATGTATAATAGTAGTTCAAAAAGTTCACGGGTCACATTTGAAGTGTTTATCATATTTGACCATTATACTTGTCAAATGGCATATCATCTCAATAAAACTTATATAAAATAGCATTTCAAAGACAGAGCTCTCCATTATACCTGTTGCGTGGTGGATAATGTTAATATTGTCCAAATAAATAAATAAGCACTCAATCATTTTGCATACTTTTCTTTTATTTTGAAGGCGAGGATATGTCTCGGCGTTCAATTCCTACTAGGAGCAGAGATGAACATTTTGAATCTGGTCTCACTCAGTTCTCCAAAAATCCAGTTGAAGTTCTACAGGGGATCGCTGCAGAATCTGGAACCAAGGTAACTATAAAGTTGTTTGAAAAATGTTACAAGGTTTTATTTTTTTTGGGTTAATTGTGGATAGACCCCTCTGGCCCCTGTAGTACTATTCTTTTGTACTCACTACCCGTCTACTTTTGTTTTTGCAGATAGACCCCCTGACTGATTTTTCTTCTACTCTTTTACCCACAGGGGGCTATTTGTCAAAAAACAACTTTCTTTCTTTTGGGGTAAAAGAGAGAAAATTCACCCAGGGGGTCTATCTACAACAATAAAACTGGAGGGGTAGTTAGTTAAAAAACGAGGATACTAATCCGGAATTAACACTTCTTTTTTCCTTGGGAAATTTGGACTAATATATCTTTTGATTTGAAAACCCGTCTCTGGTGGTGAAGGACTGGTCTGGATAATTGAAGTGCCAGGTCCAAGTTTTTTGTAAAGCAAAAGCTAATGTTTGTTCCACTCCTTTTCTTGTAGGTTGAGTATCGGATAACTTTGTTAAACAGTATAGAACTGCAGTTTTCTGTTGAGGTAATGTTATAAGAGCACTGCTTTGTCCGCTTCTGCCGGCATTCAGTTTTCTGTTTCTGTCATTTTAAATGGGAGTCTTGAGAGCACTGTTTGTTGCTAGAATTTTGTTGCCTCTTAATTAATATGTTAAGTAATTACTGTTTCCCCTCTCAGGTTCATTTCTTTGTGATGTAATGCTTGATGAGTTAAATTTCAATTATTGAGAATACTTGTGTATTCTCTTAACGGTTCTCTTCTAAACTTTCTCTAACTCTTAGTAAAAAAAGAATCAAGGAAAAAAGGAATCTTTTTTAGTCTTGAGGATTCTCGTCAGTGGTAAGCAGTAATTTGGGCGGCAGCTGGCAACTTGATTTTTATTTACTTTTTTATTTTTATTACAGTATTCTTATATCTGAGGTTGTTCCTTACCTTGTTTGCATAAGTGAACTTTTCATTGTTTTTTCTCCTTTATTCTTTTCTGGAAGTATGATCGTAATTGGAGTTCATTGTTTTATGTAGGCTTGGTTCCTTGGAGAAAAGATGGGAGAAGGAATTGGGAGATCAAGGAAGGAAAGCCAGAAGCAAGCTGCTCAGGAAGCTATTCAACATTTAGCAGGTAAGAGATAACAAACTTGGTAAAATGTAATGCTACTAGCTACTGTACTGTCGAATACTTAATGATGATATTATATGCTATTACAGTTATTAATTATTAGAAACGTTAGAGATGTATTTTGGTCCCATAGTAAGAGATAACAACCTTGTCCATTTAGTGTTCATTGATGATTGATCAACAGCACATAGATGAATATATGGCAAGCAAATTTATGCTTATTAAACATGACCAGCTTATTGATATGATGAGAAAATATTATTGAATTTAAAAGTTTTATTTCCAATACTGCTTGATAAAGTTCTAACCGTTCCGGATTATTAATTTTCTGCAGATCACTATCTGGATGATTTTTCCAATCCAGCTGCTTTTTGTGAGAGAAAGCAATCTCGTGTCGAGAAAATAGATATTTTCAGTGACTCCAATTTGCATGGACCCCCAACATATTCAAGGATGGAAACTTTACGAAACCCCTCAGAGGAAAATTTGTTGAAGCCATCAGATGCTGCTGTCACCCTTAAGGAACTAGTAAGTTTCACTCTTCCTCTTCAATGCAGGAGATTGAATGTTGAAACTTGACATGTATTGCCTCTTCTTGTCAGTGTACTTTGAAGGGTTTCAGTCTAGCTTTTAAGACTGATTCGTCACTCCAGGCCAGTTCAGACGATAAGCAAGGTGTATGTGCACAGGTTTATTATCTACCTCTTTCAGAAAACGTTTTGCCTGTTCTCTTATAAAATACTATTCGACAGCTCAATTTTTTAAGATAGGAGTCAAGTGCAATGAATTACATCTTTTTAAAAGCAGTCCACGTGGGACATATTCCTTGAGGAATCCTTTATTCTTTAATGAAGCAAGTAGTGGCTAACAAGATATCAATATATAAGTACCACAAAAATGAGTTCATGTGAACATATGTGCAGGTAACTATAGGTTTATCCTGAAAAAAAGCTTCTTCCATAAATCTATTTAAATTTGTAAAACGTCACATGACTTAAATTCATCTGTGTGGAATTGGTGCCTTTTAAGAGATTCGGTGTGTCTGATTCTTAACATATTCTTCACACACATTCTTTAAGAGGAACACTTTTAGCAGAAATTTGAGGGCAATTGAATCAATTGTTCAACAAAAGGTCCGTTTTTGGACGTGTTAAGAGTGTAGCTCTTGAAGTTATAAGTTTTACTTTTTGTGTGTAATGATATGTGCCATTGTCATCCTTACTTGATTTATTGTTTCCTCTCGATTATTCTGTAGGTTGAAATAGCAGGACAGATACTAGGAAAGGGATCTGGAACTACCTGGAACATAGCTAAGTTAAAGGTACAAGGTCTTCTCTTCTGCTTCCTTTGAAATAGTAACTCAGTTAATATGTGCTTATGTTGGAAGATGAAATGCCAGAAAAGTTTAATTATCGTAGTTAAAACTTTTCCACAAGTTTCTGAGCCAGTTGAAAATAGGATGTTTGTGTAATGTGTTTCTGTGTTCTAGTTTTTATATTTTATTTATATTATGGATACTCTGAAAATATAAGCATTTGAGATATCTGTCTTGGTTGCACCGACTTTACGTTTAGGTGCTTCCTGACCAATTATTCCTTGATGCTGCAGGCTTCTGAAGAGGCTCTTGCTAACTTGGAGTCTATGCTAGGTCAATTCACTCAGAATTGCCTTGGTTCTTCAAGGTGAACATTGGTCATGTGTGTTCTCATAGTTAACTGCATTATGTTTGCATTCTGCTAGTTTATGCATACAATGGATCTGCATTATGACACATACATTCATGTAAAATTCTTTTTTTAAGTCTCATATAAGTTTTTGCTGCTATTATGCACATACACTTGTCTGCATTGTTACATACATGCATTACTTTTATGTAATGTTTGATTTTTAAAAGTTTCATCTGAGCTTTTATTTTTAACCAATTATTAAGGGTTCATGCTTAAATACATTCTGATTATGCATATAGTCCATGGTGGCTGCTCTCTTCCCATTGTTTGCACCATCTGTTTATACTGACCTTTATATCGAAAGTAAAGGGGATTTTGGATTGTCTTCCTTTCAAAGGTTGAACGTTTGATTTCCTTACTCATAACGAAGCACTACTTTTAAGATGATACTCAAACTTCATGCTAAAGCCATACACTTTTTGCATTGCATTGCACTTCTTCCTATTTTATGGCACAGAAAGAACCACTATAGTTCCGAAGGGAGTGGATGATTGCAGTAAAGAATGACTCCAAAGGACACTTAACTTCATTTCCTCTCTCTTTAAAGGCTAAATTGTGCAAAACTACCATGACTATTGGGTTTGATAAAAGTGCCATGAACTATTTTTATTAGAGAAAAATACGACAAATCTTCACATCAACAGAAAAATACCATATACTGTCAAAAACTGCCCATGTGTTAAATACAATCAAACCTGTTTTCTGTAACGAGGCTACCATGAACTTTTAGATAAAGTCACTAAACTACCACAAATTTTACATTATTCTCCAATTATAACCATGACCTTGTAGGTATTGTCATAAATCAATAATATAGTTTTCTGACAGTAC